TTCACCTCCACACTTTCCTAGGTCAAGCATTTTTAATCAAACTTTGGTGAGAGGTGTGGTCCACCAAGTAGGATGTCTTGCATCTGACAGTCACATCTGGGAACTAGCAATGACAGAGCAAAGGGGACATGATTTGTCCTCTGTAATGGTTCAGAGTTCCTTTTAGCTTATTTATATCTCCAATATATACTATCTTTTATAAGAAATAGTCCCCTATGTGTTGTGGGGTATTTTCGCCTGGCTCTATGGAGGAGTATTTAGATTATTTTGATATACAATTTTTTCTTGCCCTCAAGAAATACCACTTGAAAATATTCAAATATTGATTGCAGTAATGGTAACACAACTGTGACTCTACTAGAAGTCAATGAATTATGAACTTTAAATAGGAGAAGTCTATGATATAGGATTATATATCAGTGAAACTGGTGTGTGTATGTGTGTGTGTGTGTGTGTGTGATAATTTCCCTTTATTCAAGGAGAAAGCCAAATACTGTATGATTTCACTCATGTATAGAAACACACAGAAACAAAACAAAGGAACAGACAAAACTAAACCAAAACAAACCCTAGAACTGTGATTGTAGCATTGAGGCTACTAGAGGGGGAAGGATGGGGTAGGCCAGAGCACTATGGTCAAGGGTTATGGGTGCCTTGGTGGTGGGTGTGGTGTGGTGACATTCTGTGAGCTTATCCACTAAATCATATACATTGTTATATATCAGTGTTGCCTCAATAAAAAGAAATGAAAATCGATATTTAATAAGCATGCCTCTATGCTAAGCATTAATTTCGCTTATGATTTTTATAAATATTTTCCTATTATTGCCCTGAACCTTTGAATTTCTTGGGTAAAGAGGTCTAATTTATGTACATTCATTTATCAAGCATCAAGAACATATTTAGCACATATCTTGCATGGCAACAGTCAAAGTGGTATAGGAACAAAGATAATGTTTGTAAGACAGGAATTATTAATAATAAAGTATCAACTGGAACTGCAGCCAATCTGTTGGCGAAACACAATAGTGACTTAACTATGATTGTGGTGACAGGGAGCCAACAATTGAGTCTTTGCTAATGACCCAATGGGGGAAGGGGTTGAAAAGAAGTAATGAGTGGTTTACATTACAAAGGGATTGTCTGAGACCGGCTGCAGTGTAGTCTTGAAGGGAGGTCAGGCTAGAGACAGAAGGATGATAACCATGGAGCTGTCAAGGGCATCTCAGGGGCTTAGGCAAGTACAGTGGCAGCTAGACACGGCCAGCTGAGAGCAGACATGTCCTGGCCCTGCCTAGTTCTGATTGCTGAAAAGAAAATGAAACAAGAAGACAATGGATCAAACCGCAGTGTCCTGGGCAAGCGTCATAAATCGAAAAGAGTCTTGGAACTATTGGAAGCTGAGCTGAAAATATTACTTGCTTCAGTTTGACCAGGGTTGGGCAACTCTTTGAGGACTAAAACTGCTGGAAGGGCTGTGTGTGTGTGTGTGTGTGAATAACTATGTAATTGACAGATCTATAGATAAGAATAAGTTCTTGACATCTGTTGAACTCCTCATGGTTGCACATTTCCAAACTACATACGTGTACACTTGCATGTCCAGCTTTTATCAGATGCTTTGGAATATGTATATTTTAAAAGTAGGCATCTCAGGGCCTCCCTGGTGGCGCAAAGGGTTAAGCACCGCACTAAGAAGCAATCTGCAGCCTCTGCAGCACAAGTTCCATCCCCAGCCAGCCAGGGAGCAACCCACATGGTGCAGCAGACCTCTCCTGTCTTGCCCGCTGCTCCCCTCAGCAGTGTATTTCATTCAGTCTGCCTGTTCTGTTCCCCACTCTGTCTTTGGTGAATCCTCTCACCACCCACACCCCCGCATCTCTGGCATGTACCCCAGCTCTTGTATGCATAAATAAATAAATCTTAAAAATAAAGTAGGCATCTCAACTACAGTCCATATTCTAATTGCTTCATTTGTTTCTATACTATCCTTTATAGCGTTCCCCCCTCCAGCTAAGGGTCATGGATTCCACTTAGTTGTTATGTATTAGAGAGAAAGAAAGAGCAAAAGTGTCAACGCTATCACCACCATGACCTGAGTTTGATCCCTGGCCAGGGAGCTAACCCACATATGGTGCAGCAGACATCTCCTGTCTCACCCGCTACTCCCCTCAGCAGTGTATTTCAGTAAATCCACCCTGTTCTACTCTCCACTCTTTCTCCAGGGAATCACCTCCCCTCCCGCACCTCTGGCCTGTACCCCAGTTCTTGTGTGAAAAAAATAAATAACTTTTAAAAAAAGAAAGAGCAAAAGAATATGATGAAACATTCTGATGAATGTGGTAAAAGAGTAGTCTCCCTCTGTGACCCCTGCTGGCCTCTTTTTCTGGGTCTCTTTTACTCTTATCCAAGCACTACACCCAATACATTCTTTCTGTTCTTCAAACAAGCCATCTCTTTCCCTCCTTTAGGATGCACTCAGGATCCACTGTTCCTCCAGAGATGCACATGGCTGGCTCTTTCTTGTTACTTAGCTCTTAGTAGAAATGCCACTTTCAAGAGAGAATGTTCTTGCTAAAGTAATGCCCAACCATTTTCTATCCTCCTGTTTTAATTCTGTGCCTAAGCCCATCGCTTAGTGATAATTTAATCTGTCCTGTTCACTGATGTATCCCCAGCACCCATAATAACAACTGGCACTTAGTAGCTGCTAAAAACTAATTGTTAACTGAATATATTATCTATAGAAATGGGGAATTATTAAAAATAATGATAATACCGAATATATGTGGTTTATGTAGGAAAATACTTCAGAACTCCAATCAGTGTTTTTCATTCAGTCTGCCTGATTTTACATTAGAATAATGATCAATGAATGTACATTTACATATTTTAATTCTATATTAAGTATGTAAAATTTTTCATATTCCCACTTTAATACACATTTTTATTATAAAATACACAAATTACAATGGTTAAAAGGACATCTGCTGTCTATAAGGTATATTATATACAGTGATTCAAATTATATAGTCTATGTTTTAAAAAAGTAAATATTTTAAAATAATGACTCATTGTTTTAGGGAGATGGAATTATAAGCAATTTTTCCTTTATTTTCCAAACATACTTGTGGTTCTATTATTTTTCTAATTTAAAAAATATTTTAAGAGACAGAACAATACAGAATAAATGTAATCAAGTATTAATGAAACTGTAAATGCAGCTTGGAAATGGAAGGATTTTCTTGAATTTGGCATGCTTGGGGAGCAAAGCTTTGTGGCAAAAATAATGGTAATTGACCTGGGCTTTGCAAAGACTATTAGAACTTTTAAGGGTGGACAGATAGGTAATGAGCTTTTTAGGCTGAAGAAACAGAATGAACAAAACAGAAGAGAACAACAAGCATATAGGAGACAATGTGGAGACAGGACTAATTGAATGGAAAGCTCATGTTTGGAGGTTTGTGGGAAGCCATCTGGGAGAGTAAGATAGGATCACATTTTAGAAGATCTTGAAAACTGGCCAGAAAGGTTAAGACTAGAAATGGTAAGTGTTGACCTGAGACAAAAGCAATCAATTATTCCAACAACAAACAGGGTTTTCAAGGAAAAAAAAAAAAAAAACAGAAAAAAGGGCAAGTTGGAGTGCCCTTGGTGCTTTCCTGAACCCAAGGCCAGCAACTCCCTAAATAACCTCTGCAGGACCTCCCTGTTAGTTCTGCTGAAGGCTGGAAATAGCCTCCTGCAAGAGATGCAAGGCCTGCTGGGCACTATAGCTTGTAATGGGGTGTGTGTGAGCACTCTTTCTCTCTAGCTTCCTGATCTCCTCTAAATAGGGTTCTAAATATTAATGTTCACGAAAGAAATAAAAATTATTATGGGTTCTCAAGAACAACAGTAACATGCTGGCCTGGTGTTTTAGGAAAATTATTCCATGCAGGGAGTGAAACAGAACTGGCAGTACAGAGGGCTGACACAAGAGTCCATCTGGCCCATGGCAGACACAAAAATCAATCACAGATCTGCTCTGCTGAGACCCAGCCTCTGGACCATCTTCACCAGCCCCCCACTAAGCTGTCACTAAGCTTAATTGCCCTCTTCAGTGTGTGCATCATGCTAGAAAAGTGAAAGATGGGAAGAAGAAAGAGGTGAAGGCCCAAAGGATGAGGACTTGGATTTTCATAGTTCTGAGAACATAAGCAGAATTATCTTGGGATATTTCTTTTGTATTTGTAGGTTCCTATTATAATTAGAGCCAGAAATAGAGTTCTTTTTGGATAACTCATTATTCAGTTGTTGTAGAAATGTTTTGCTTTTTTTCTTACTGAGACTTTGTCACTGGTGTACAGTTTCTAGGCACTTGCTTTTTCAAATCACTTTATTTAAATATTTCATGAACCTTGAGAACAATAACTCCCAGAAATTTTGTGCCAAAAAAAGACTCTCACCCATTTTTAATCTACAAAGATTTGGATGCACCTGTTCTATCCATCCGTGGGAGTTAACTTGTCAAAATATGTTAAATCACTATTTTTATTCTTTAAGGTTTGTTTTCTTTCTTTTTTAAAAAGTAAGCTGTTTATAGATTGCAAAATAGCAAACAAAATTAAAAATAAAATAAAATTGTCTCATCTTTGGAAGAGAAAAACTTCTCTGTCAGTGTGTGGGCTGCAAACAGAACAGAATGTTTATCTTAGCTGCATGTTAAAGATGGAAAATAAAGTTAGCAATAGCCAAAAGGCCTTTTTTTGAATAACTTATCACAGAAAGAAAACAAAAGTCTAATGGCAAGACTGTTCTCCTTTATAAGCTTGTGTTTCTGAATGGTTCTGAGAACATGTAAAATTTTACTTTTGTCCACTTGATTACTTCAAGGTAACCTCCTCAAACCTTTAAATCAAGGTTTCGTCGCAGCACTCAGCAGCTGTTGAATTTTTTAGTGACGATCTTTCCTTTCTTATCCCCCACCCCTTTTTCATTATCTATGGCTCTTAATCAAGAGCTTACAGGACCCTGTGAAAAAACTGGTTGAGAAAGAAGAAAGGAAGAAGATCACCCAGCAGGAAAGTATGGAGGCTGCAGCGGAAGAGCCAAGTCAGTAAGTCACAGGCCACTTCTCTTGGCAAAATCTGTCTTCCCTCAGGTAAGGCCAGCGCAGTCCTTGCTGACCAAGTCTGTTGGGGTCTCGGACACAGGGTAATTGCTTTACTTGCTCACTTCTCAGAGTAATGTATCAAAATTAGGGCCAAACTCCCCTAGTACATAGAGTCCTTCTGAGCCAGGACTCTACCCAATAAGAGACCTGTTTTGAGGGTCTCAGAAGGAGCACACTTGTGAGAAGTTTACTCGGGCAAGAAAGGCACATATCCCAGTGTTCCCAGCTCTCTGTCATCAGTTAGTCCCATCTTCCAGCTTGCTCTGATTTCTGGACCCTTCTGTTCCTTTGGCTACTATCACTTACAAGATCCTGTCCTAGAAAGGAAATCTCCCTGCTTTTCTCTTCTATTAGGAAATATGACCTTTGAAATTGCCTCATAACACATATAGTACTATGTGTAGTACTTTTGTATGTTACCATACAAAAGAGTTGGGCTTTGACATCGTGTTTTGTACTACTCAGACCTTCTATTTGAAGCAGCAGTTTTAATGCAGGAAGTGGTGCCCCGTCTTCATTCCTCACCACTTTACAGTCATTTTAAATATCGAGACCAACTTTTCAACGTATATGGTACATGGTTTCTGTTCTCATACAACAAGGAAGAGGTTTAAATATGAATCCTTGTCATTTTCTACTGAGATGTAACCACCTGGAGGAACAGTTAAGCTGTATATTAGCTGGCCTAAGAGAGCAAAATACATCACCTTAACTCCACGTGCTATTTCTTTTCCATACCAAAAAAATCAGATGACAATCTTGTGGTAAAAACAGGCTTATGTATTTTTTATTTTCTTCCTTTCTTTTGCTTTTTGCCATGTTTCTAAATGAAGTTTTAAATATATATTTTTGTCCCTCGGAAATATTTGCTGCCAACATTAGCCCTTTTTTAATTTTAAAGCAAATACTAGAAATTTTCATTAGTTCAATATGGAGACAAATTTTCACCATTTTTGTTTTTAATGTTTAATTGAAGTAACATTGATTTACAACACTGTGTATGATTCAGAGGTGTAGTTCATACCTCTTCAGATTATGTTATCATACCACACCCACCACCAAGGCACTCTGCACTATAGTCCTTTGCTTGCACCTTTCTTTTATTATATATGTTAATGCAATCAAAATAAAGCACTGACCTTTTCTGAAAACAGGACTACCTAAGATGGTCTTGATTGGTTTTGATTAATTTTAGATTTCTCATTATTTTATTACTTCACTTTTAAAAGCTCAAAAATCGTAACCCTAGTAACTATTTAAAATGACAATGAAAATTTAACTAGAATTTTGTTCAGTAAGAGCAAGTAATGGTGGACCCCTGAGCTAAGAGGGAGGTTCAGAGGGTCCAGCAGAGTATATGGGTGTTGATATGTGTCTGTCATGATCTTACTAAAGTAGGGTAAGAGCTGATTGAGTAGACAGGTCTTCTCGATTTGCACGTTTCAGTGTTTAGCTGATCCTGAAGTGTCCTCTCCTGTGACACTGGGTATCAGAATAAACACCTGCCTACAAATGTTTTTTGTTGTTTTTTTAATTGAGCTATCATTGGTTTACAACACTGTATGTGATTTAGAGGCATAGGATCAAACCTCTGCAGATAAATGCCAGCAAACCATACCCACCACCATGACATACATTGTCCTCCACCATAGTCCATCGTGTCCCTTCCCCCACTCTGGCTTTCTTCCTTCCCCTCCCCGTCTTATAGCCTCAATTCCACAGTCATATTTCTAGGGTTTGTTACTGGTTTTATTGTATCTGAGCCTTTGTTTTGTCTCTCTAGATTCCACATATAAATGAAACCATCCAATATTTGTTCTGCTTCTGACTTATTTCACTTAGCAAAATTGCCTCCAGTTCTATCCATGTTATTGTAAATGGCAAGAGTTTATCTTTTTTATAGCTAAGTAATACTCTATTGTGTACATATGCCACATTCTTCTAATCCACTCCTCTGTCCTTGAATATAGGAATGCATATATCCTTTCAAATTGGTGTTTTTGTTTTCTTTGGGTAAATACCTAGAAGTGTAATTGCTGGGTTATGTGATAGATCTGTTTTTAGTCTTTTGAGGAACCTTCATACTGTTCTCCATAAGGGGCTGGACCAATCTACATTCCCACCTACAGTGTATGAGGGTTCCTTTTTCTCTATATCCTTACCAACACTTGATATTTCTAGTCTTTTCATTATGAGCCCATAAAATTATTAGCTATATCTTTTAAAATTTAACTGTAAGTATCTGTTTTTTCTATACTTAATTGACCATATGTGCCTCTGATGAAACCAAATTCTGATGTTAAGATGATACTAACCAGCCTTGGGACAAAAGAAAACCAGCAAATTTATTTCCTTCAGAAGTGTATACAATGAATGACAATATGTTTACCTTCAGAGTTGTGTGTGTGCTGTTAAAAGTGAAAAAATCTATCATAAATACATTTTTAGAACTAGACCACTAAACTTTTATTTTTTTTTTAATTTTAAGGTTAATTTCATTAGAGGATGAAAACCAGCACAAGGAATCTTCTAGTTTTAATAGTAAGTTTTGACTCTTATTTAGATCTGCTTTTGAAAGACTACTGCTCAGCAGCCAACTCATTTTCCTTTTTGGCTAACTCCTCCTAGGCCTTTCTTTGCCAGTTGAGAAAAGTCTATGTTAATTTGCTTCCCACAGTTTCACTTTTAAATTGTGAAATATCAGTGAGTCAACCCAATAGTATTACAGAAGGTTGTATATTTTGAACCAAAAGGTAGCATTATTATTCACGTCAACAGTAGCATTTCCAAGGAGCAGCCATAACTGAGACTTGGCTGCTTCTTTATACAGCAGATAATAGGTTAGCTGCTCTTCCCATTACCAGTTCTGCCATTTGGACTAAAGAGGTAGTTTTAGTAAAATGGCGTGATATTTTGACTTTCATTATGTTGGGGGTGGATATTGGTTGTTGGGATATGTGGGGAGAAATGAGCTGAGATATTGCTCTTCCTGGTGATTCCTTGGTTGCTCTGTAATGAGAGATACCAGATCCCTGGGGCCACTGACACTTGTGGTTAAAAGAGGGATCAGCACTTTGGAGGTGATACAAGGCATTGTGAGGGTCTGGCCTACTCTTCCTGTCTTCTGTTAGTACTGCCAGGCTCTTTTGTGGTCCTTCTCTCAAAAAAGTAGGAGGCATGATAAATTACAGTAGAGCAGAGCTAAGGTTATATAATGCTGAGACTTTCACTGGGACTTGAAATCCTTAGAGTTGGAAGGAACATTTTACAGGTGACATATAACTAAAATTACCTCAACACTTTGTTCAGCTTGACACTCTTGGCCCTGCTTCACCCTTCATTATGGCAGCCTTTCTGCTCCATAAGGGGAGGCAATATAGACCTGGGACTTCATCCTTTTCATCCACTCTCTCCTTTTCTTCCTGTTTTCCCAAACACTGGCTTTACTTACTTTCCTCTCTCTCTTGCTGATTCATTTACTGTTCTCCTGCCTGCCTTTCAATGGGAAAAAATGCTTACTTATTTTATCCTAGCTTGGCCGCATGCCATCTGTTCCTACATGTATGCCTTCACTTACTCACATACTTGTTTATTTATTCAGTAGTTGTTCATGGAGAGCCACCTTTGTGCATACAGTGGCTCTCCAGACATAGTCAGCCTCTTCCACGATGGGGTTACAGTCAAAAGGGGAAGCTGGTACTAATATAATATTTACACAAGTTATTGACCAACTCCAATATTGGTGAGAGCAATGAGGGCTCCAAGCATGTGTGACATGGACACCTCACCTGTTGGAGAGGATCAGGGAACTAGCTCAGTCAAGTGATATTGAAAGACCCATTAAAGCATGAGAAACAGCTTGGACAAAGACTGTGATCCAGGAGAAGGTCAGAAGAATGGTGCTCTAGACCATGAGAAGAGGGAGCAATGGCAGATGAGGGCAGAAAGGAAGGCAGACCTGATCTTGGCCACATTAGAGTTCTCTGTATCTCTAGACACACTCCAGCTTCAGTGTCCCTGGGAAACAAGGTCAGGGGTCACTATGTGACAGGGATCTAGGTAATCCAATAGAAAATTTTTAGTTTTAAAGGGAGATATAAACTCTGACTTATTATATTTGTGTTCAAGTTCTGTAACTCTATGTGAATCATATTTATGTATATGATTGTATTGTATAATTGTATAATTGTACAAATATTGTATAATATTTATTATACAAATCGTATTTGTATAATATGTGACAATATAGAGCAAACATATTTTCTCTTTCTGTAATATGTGCACTTGCTTATGGTATTTGCATAATATTTGGAGATTGTAAATGTTGATTACCTTGTTTTATGTATGCATATGATATAAGCTGTTACAAAAAAGTGTCATTCTCATTAATTCTGTGACCTGCAGAATGTCTAATGGACATATGAGCAAACCAGGTTTTAAGACTCTTCTGTTACATATATGTACATACGCATATATACAACACATACACACACTTTATTGTTTAGGTTTTATTTCACAGCAGAACTGGGCAGAAGGTACAAGGAAGTCCTCTTAATCTCTTGCCCTTACCCTCACACCTGTGTAGCCTCTCCCATTGTCAACATCCTCCACCAGACTAGTACATTTGTCACAATCAATAAAGCAACATTGACACATCATTATCACCCAAATTTCATAGTTTACATTAGGATTCATTCTTGGTGCCATACAGTCTGTAGGTTTTGACAAATGTTTGACATGTGTCCATCATTACAGTATCATTTAGAATACTTCCTATCATAAAAATCCCCTGTGCTTCACCTATTCATCTCTCTCTCCCACCAAGTCCCAGTAGCCTCTGGCCTCTTCACTGTCTCCATAGTTTTGCCTATTCTAGCATATTATAAATGTGGAATTGCGTAGTATTGGGCTTTTTAAGATTGACTTATTTTACCCAATAATCTCCCCTTGTATTTTAGGCAGCCCCTAGTAACTAAAGTTCATTAGCACAATCAATTCAATTGCTTATCACACATTTATCCATGGAAGGAGAATTGTTTTATCAACACCAAATAGTTTCCTAGGTTATCAACTAAACAAAGTAAAGATTTAAGGCTGTTAGCTCAATATACATTGAAAACCAACTGCTTGAATAACAGGTAATCCAAAGACCCCTCATTCTGCATGAGTACCACTTGTAGATGCCATTTCTCTCTGAAGCTATGTGTTTGCTTATACTGCAATGGCATATGAACGTGCGCACCATTCTGAATTGCTGGTAACCGTTGCATATGTTATATTTACAGCTGAAGATGGGAAAAGTGTATTATCTGCCTTAGACAAAAGTTCTACATATACTGTATGCTCAGGTAATGTAAATTAAGGAAAGTGATTTAATTATAACAATTTGACTAAAAATCTTACAAAATGAAACTGACTTAAAATTTTATTTTTCTTTCCCTTCTAATGGATTCATAGATGAACTCTTAGACATGAAACCTGAGGAAGGCGGTAAGATTTATGCATTTCTTTGGGCTTATAACTTAATATTTTAACACTATTTTTACACACAGGAAAATATAATGTTTATCATTTGAATAGCTTTGCATTCCAAAGAAAATTGTTTTTAGGTGACTGACATTTGTTTTAAAATGACTTTACATATGCCCAAGCACAAATTAGTGTGTGTGTGGATCTTTCATCTTTAGTATAATTAATTTCTTAATGTCCAGACTACCAAAGCTACAAGTTATTATGTCAAAACTTGTATGCTGTAGTAGAGAAAAAAATGGCTTTCCGAATCAGACAGACCTGGATTTGATTGAACAGTGATTCTACCAAAAATAATTTTATACTTGAACTTTCTCAATCTTGGTTGTTCTCATTTGTAAAATGGAACCAATGGTAGGGCCTCCCTGGTAGTGCAGGCGGTAGGGCACCACACCGTGAAGCTGTCCGCAGCCTCTGCAGTGCGGGTTCAATCCCGGCTGGCCGGCAAGAATCCCACATGGTGCAGCAGACCTCTCCTGTCTCGCCCGCTGTTCCCCTCAGCAGTGTATTTCTATAAATCTGCCTGTTTTACTCCCCACTCTGTCTCTGGTGAATCCTCTCACTCTCCTATGCATCTGGCCTGTACCCAGTTCTCATATAATAAATAAATCTTTAAAAAAAAATGGCACCAATGGTAATAGTGTTGCTGGGTTATCATCAGTATTGGAGATTACATATGTAAACGGTCTTTTCACAGCTTCTGACACATGGACACTCTCCCAGTGTAACCCCCTGAGATGGTAGGGTGTTGTGCTGCATCTCCATGGAAACTTAGTTAACTATAAAAGGGAGGGTTTTCCTTGGCTCGGTCCTACACTCAAGTTCAGCAGACTTAACCACTAAAGAGAATCCAGGATCACAGATTTAGATGAGACATGCATGGTCCCAGGTAACTCTGTCAACCCAGGATGTTCAGCCTGTCACAGCCTTTGTTCTCCCGCTCACCAAGGATTTCCTTCTCATGACTTTCTGGGAGTCCAAAATGCACCTGAAACACAGAGCCAAACTTTAGAACCCCGGATGACTGCTCGGATCTTACAGGTTTCTAACAAGATTAGAAATAGACCAAGATCATCTTGCAGGACCCTGTTAACTGGGGCCAGCGGTTTCACAGAATTAAATCAGAAATGCTACTGCCTGAGATACAGCCTAATTTTCATAAATTTTCTCCAAAGCATGTGCCAAGATATCTTGTAATAAAATGGATATCTTTTCTCTTATTTAAAATAACTATTATACATCATAGTTATACATTATATTATACATCATCAAATAACTATTATACATCATTTTATAGCTAAAATCTTTGTTAGCTTCACAGAATTGCAATTCATATTCCCTTTTTTGAATACTCAGTGTACATTTAAAGATAAAAATGTGACTGTGCCCCTCCCCAAAATATGTTCTTGTTCTCAATAGAAGAATTGATTACAAGTGATCTTGCAATGTCATAATTTCTTCTTTCTCTTTATCGCTGCCAACTCTCAAAGCCCGTTTTGGGCACATGCCATCCTTTCCCACTGCTGCCTCTTCTGCGCTGTCAACCCCTAGGTTAGCACAAGCTTAAAAATTAACATGGCCACTGGCATAAAATATTCTCTCAGTGTGTGAGAATTTGTAGTGACCGAAGAAAGGAACATTCATTTATTTGTTGATTTCAAAACGCATGTCCTTTGGAAAACTGCCAGAAGGCCAAACTCCTGAATTAAAATGTTCATTATAATATGCAGGACATTAAACAATCAAGAAATAAAAAAAGCTTAATCCAGGGATGGCTGACTTTATAGCACTTGGGGGACTATAAACTCTGGCACCCTGCTGCTTGGGGCTATTTACTCCCAGTGGTAATTCTGTTCGACAAGTAATGACAAAGCTGGGATACAGTGTCATCAAAAAGCAGAGGTTATGACAGCAGCAAGGAGACAATTCTCCAGGATCTATGGCCCAGAGAAACATTCTGATTCACTCATCATGAAATTGTTTTCTCCACCTAAATAGATAATGTAATGGAAAATTAATATATAATGAGTTTATTAAAATGTTTTTTTTTTATAATAAATTTTATTTTTATATTCCCCATACAATTGCAGCCCCCCCATTCTGACCCCAATCCCTCCCCTCCCACCCCCGCCCCCCTAAAAGTGTCTCTGGTTCGTAGTTTTTTGTTGATTTTGATTTTCACTTTCTTATAGTTATTCGTTTTCCTGGTCCCTTATTTAAGTTTTCTAGATTCCTGCTATGAGTGAGACCATCCGGTATTTTTCTTTTTCTTTTTGGCTTATTTCGCTGAGCATGATCCCTTCCAGTGCCATCCATGTTGCTGCAAATTGCATGTGTTTATCTTTTTTGAATGCTGAGTAATATTCCATGGTATATATGTACCACATCTTCTTGATCCAGTCATCTATTTTTGGGCATTTGGGTTGTTTCCAAAGCTTAGCTATTGTAAACAGTGCTGCTATAAACATAGGGGTGCAGGTGTTCTTTGGAATGGATGTTTCTGTGTCCTTTGGGTAAATACCTAGGAGTGGAATTGCTGGATCATATGGAAGCTCTATGTTTAGTAGGTCCAGAAATCTCCACACAGCTCTCCACAGTGGTTGGACCAGTTTGCACTCCCACCAACAGTGCAGAAGAGTTCCTTTTTCTCCACACCCTCGCCAACATTTGTTGTTGCTAGTTTTTTTAATATGTGCCATTCTCACTGGTGTAAGATGGTATCTCATGGTAGTTTTGATTTGCATTTCCCTGATGACAAGTGATGTTGAACATTTTTTCATATGCCTGTTGGCCATTTGCATTTCCTCTTCAGAGAAGTTTCTTTTTAGCTCTTCTGCCCATTTTTTGACTGGATTCTTTTCTTTGTTGTTGTTAAGTCTCATCAGCTCTTTGCAGATTTTTGTGATCAGTCCTTTATCATTAGTGTTGGGTGCAAAAATGTTCTCCCAGGTGGTGGGGTTTCTCTTTGTTTTTGTTATTGTCTCTTTTGCTGTGCAGAAGCTCTTTAATTTGATGTAGTCCCAGCTGTTTATCTTCGCCTTCACTATCACTGCTTTGGGTGATGTGTCTGTAAAGATGTCTTTGATGTGCAAATCCCGTAGTGTTTCGCCTATATTTCCTTCTATGTATTTTATGGTTTCAGGTCTTATGTCTAGTTCTTTAATCCATTTTGAGTTGATTTTTGTGTATGGTGTGAGGTAGTGGTCAAGCTTCATTCTTTTGCATGTAGCGACCCAGTTTTCCCAGCACCATTTATTGAACAAACTTTCTTTGCTCCAATGCATAGTCTTTGCTCCTTTGTCAAAGATTAGTTGACCATAAATCTGTGGGTTTATTTCTGGATTTTCTATTCGATTCCATTGGTCTGTATGTCTGTTCTTGTTCCAATACCATGCAGTTTTGATGATTATGGCTTTGTAGTATAGTTTGAAGTCTGGGAGTTTGATGCCTCCATTTCCTTTTTTTTTTTTTCAGTAGAGCTTTGGCTATTCGGGGTTTTTGGTGATTCCATATGAATTTCATCAATAATTGTTCTATTTCTTTGAAGAATGCCATTGAGATTTTGATTGGAATAGCACTGAATCTGTATATTGCTTTTGGTAGGATGGCCATTTTAATAATGTTTATTCTTCCAATCCATGAGCAGGGGATGTCTTTCCATTTCTTTGTGTCTTCTTCTATTTCTTTTAACAGTGTTTTATAGTTTTCTTTGTATAGGTCCTTTACCTCTTTTGTTAGATTTATTCCCAAATATTTGATTTTTTTTGTTTCGATAATAAAAGGGATGGTTTTTTTGATTTCTTCTTCTTCAGATTTATTGTTTGTGTATAGGAAGGCTACTGACTTTTGCGTGTTGATTTTGTATCCTGCCACTTTACTGAACTGATTGATGAGTTGAATTAGTTTTTCTGTGGACTTTTTGGGGTTCTCTATGTATATTATCATATCATCTGCAAATAGTGATAGTTTGACTTCTTCTTTACCTATTTGGATTCCTTGGATGTCTTTCTCTTGTCTTATTGCTCTGGCTAGGACTTCCAGTATTATATTGAAAAGCAGTGGTGAGAGTGGACATCCTTGTCTTGTTCCAGATCTTAATGGAATTGCTTTCAGCTTTTCACCATTGAGAATGATACTGGCTGTTGGCTTGTCATAGATGGCCTTTATGATGTTGAGGTATGTTCCTTGTATCCCAAGAATTTCAAGGGCTTTTATCATGAATGGGTGTTGCACTTTGTCGAAAGCTTTCTCAGCATCTATTGATATTATCATATGGTTTTATATTTCTTTTTGTTGATGTGTTGGATAACGTTGATTGATTTTCGGATGTTAAACCATCCTTGTGTCCCTGGAATGAATCCTACTTGGTCGTGGTGAATTATCTTATGGATGCATTGTTGGATTCTGATAGCTAAAATTTTATTGAGGATTTTTGCATCAGTGTTCATTAGGGAGATTGGCCTGTAGTTTTCCTTTTTTGTGTTGTCCTTGTTTGGTTTTGGTATTAGTGTAATGTTGGCTTCATAGAACGTGTTTGGTATTGTCCCTTCCTTCTCAATTTTTTGGAAGAGTTTGTGAAGGATAGGCACTAATTCGTCTCTGAATGTTTGGTAGAATTCATTTGTAAATCCATCAGGTCCCGGGCTTTTGTTTTTGGGGAGGTTTTTGATTACCATTTCAATTTCGCTGCTAGTAATTGGTCTGTTTAGGTGTTCTATTTCTTCTTTATCTAGCTTTGGGTGATTGTAGAGTTGTAGGAATTTGTCCATCTCCTCTAGATTGTTAAACTTGTTTCCATATAACTGTTCATAGTAGTTACTGATTATTCTTTTGATTTCTTCTGTGTCCGTTGTGATTTCTCCTCTTTCATTGATGATCCTGTTTATTTGTGCTTTCTCCCTTTTTTCCTTTGTGAGCCTGGCTAGGGGTTTGTCTATTTTATTTATTTTTTCAAAGAACCA